TTCCTCAATCAGGATTTGAAATCTCAAGTCAGGTTGATTGCTGCTTCCTCTTTGGAGCGTTTTGTCAATAATGATCTTTGTCTTAACAAAACTGAGAGGGCTTTAATCACTAAATTGCAGTGTACGAGAGATTTCATGAAAACACATCCTACTGTCATTTTTACAAAAGCAGACAAAGGCAATGTCACCGTTGCTCTAGAAAGAAGTGATTACGTTGCTAAGTTAGAACATATGTTAAGTGACACAGACACATACACCAAAGTTATAAAAAAGAACCCGGTGAGAGGCATTGAGAGTAAACTTAATGAATGCTTAAAAGCTTGGCGTAATGCGAACTACATAAATGAAAAAACATATTATTCTTTGATTTGTAACGACAAACCATTACCTAGGGCTTACGGACTTCCAAAAATTCATAAACCGAACATCCCGTACAGAATTATTGTTTCTTGCGTTAACACCACTCTTTATAATTTTGCTTCTTTTCTACATAATATATTATATAAAAATTTACCTAAACATCACAGTTTTGTGAACAATAGTTTCGATCTAGTTGGAGTTCTTTCGGGCTTGCGTGTTGATAAGTCTGATGTTTTATTGTCTCTCGATGTCGTCTCACTGTTCACTAATATACCGTTAGATTTGGCCTTGGATGGTGTGAGGAGAAGGTGGGATTTCATTAAGNATCATATACAGATTCCACTTGAATCGTTCATTAGGGCATTGGAGTTTGTCTTGTCATCTACCTTCTTTACATTTAACGGGAGTACTTATCAACAAACTTTTGGTACTCCGATGGGATCACCACTTTCTCCGATCATTGCTGATATAGTGTTGCAAGATCTCGAAGACGATTGTCTAAAAAAATTACAATTGAATTCATTGATCTATTATAGATATGTGGATGATATTTTCATGTTAGCTAAGAAAGAGAATATAGATCTCATTTTTCAAAAATTTAATTCATACAACCCTCGCTTACAATTTACATTGGAGATCGAGAAGNATAGATCAATTAACTTTTTAGATACCACTATTACGGTGATTGATGACAGATTGATCTGCAATTGGTTCCAAAAACCAACTTTCTCGGGACGTTATCTTAGTTTTTCCTCGCACCATCCATTTGGACAAAAGAAATCTGTTATTTCGGGAATTGTTGATAGAGCAATTCTACTCTCACATCCAATGTACCACAAGGATAATTTGATAAAGGCAATGCGTTTTTTGTCAGCCAACGATTATCCTTTGGATTTGATTTTCAAGATCTTTAAAAAAAGACTTCATCATTTGTTCAACAATAAGTTGAATGCGGTGAGCGGTGAGTTTGACTTAGTTGAGATAAGGGGAGGGAGAGGGGTGGGTCCTTATGATTCTTCGAAGCTAGTAAAGTTTATTACTTTACCTTATTTACCGAAAGTCACGGGTAGCATCTCCAGATTACTAGGTAGCTCGAATTTTAAAATTGCTTATAGAACCTTCAACACTCTGAGAAGTTACATTACAGT